GCGGTGCAGGGCGTGCAGGGCGGGCCTCGGGGCGTGCAGGCCGGATGGCAGCAATCGCCCTGTCCCTCTCTGTCTCTGTCGCACTGCCCTTCCTCAAGGACGGCAACAAGTCCTGCTGCGCTCGGCCACCCCTACACTCAAATGACTCCCCACCCCCAACACACACACACACACACACACCAACACACACACACCTACACACGCACACACCGTGCCCACTGTCAGTGGCCCCGGAGAGCAGAGATTAGAGGAGGGCGGGAAAAAGGCGAGTAGAACACGCAAAGCAGCGCGTGGTATGGTGTAGGCACACTGGACAGACGGTCGCCAAAGGGAATCGCTTTCAGTGGGTCGTTCCACCTCGGCGTGACCTCCGTGTTCATTAGGCGCGGTGAAAGAGATAGAGAGACAGAGAAGAGGCTCCTCATTGGCTCCATTTCATTCCGTTTCAATTCGTCAGAAAGAAGCCGCAGCAGTGGAATGCGTCGATATTTTTCGGCCCGCTGACACATCAGGTCGACGTCCTCTGTCTCTCTCGCACCCCTAGGGAGCGCGCCCAGCGCGCCACGAGTGCTAGAAAGAGAGAAAGAGGAGGAGGGGGGGGGGGCGGCGGCGCTCATGGCCCTTCAAAGCGCACGTAGGTGCTGCCACTGCCTCTGTCTCGTTACGAGCAATAACATGCCGCGCGCCGCCGTTCCTTTCCACTTGGAGGGCCACGCCCTGCCGCGCCATGCCATGCCCTGCCACGCCGTACCACGCCCTGCCACGCCCTGCCACGCCCTGCCACGCCCTGCCACAGTCACAGACGGACGGCCAATTTGAGCGGGCCGAGTATCGTTCGCCCCGACGGCCCTTGGAGCCCTCGGAGTACTGGGAGGGCCCCGCCGGCGTGAAGAAGCGCGCTGCTTGAAAAACTGGACCGATACCGCGCGGCCTAAGATAATGGCCCTATAAATCGCGACCTTCACACTCGCAGCCTCGCGGAGCACGGCGGGGCGGGGCGGGGCGGGGCCGTCAGGGAAGGGTTCTAACAAGCTCATCATTAATTTATAGGGTACGACAAGTAGCAGCACAATACACACACACATGAACGAACACACACGCACACCCACACAAACACAAGGTGGTTGCCAAGGCGAAGCTGCGAAGGGGGCAGCCACCGGCGTGATAATAGCAAGAAGATCGATTTGTGTGCTGGGCAGGACGGGAGTGTGGAACAGTGTGGACGGACGGGGCGGCGAAGGCGGTGGCGCTGCGCGGCCGCGGGCCCCTTTGGGAGTATTGCCTGTCAATCAGGTAAATAATGATAAGGCCTCAATCTACACACGCGATCGATTGGGGCAGAAAGGGGCTGGGGGTTGGGTTGGGGCAGGTCGGCCAACAACAGTGCTTCGCAATTTACTGCGTGGAAACCGATCTTGCATAATGACATAGGGGTCATCATCGCGCACGATCATCGATGCCTTTCGCTTTCCCGGTCGAGTGGCGTTGAGTCAAAGGGGCAATCGTCACCGATTGTGTGACGAAGGGATCCGCAGCCGGCTGTGCCGCCCTCCGCGAACTTGGTCTTCGCCCACCCCCAGCTTGCGAAGCCGCCTCCCCCACAGACGGGCTGCCCTCCTCGAAGAAGAAAGGAGGCGCGCTTCCCGCCGTGTTCTGAATATTCATGCCGTTTTTCCATTTTTAACAAGAGCCAGCAGGCCAGCGGTTCCGAAGAGTCGTTACGCCGGCCCGTCTCTCTCACACCCTTCCGGGCCGGGCCGCGAGAGCGACGGAGACGGAGCGGCGGGGAAAGGCAAGGCGCCGCGTCGATAGATTCCACACGCGCGCAATCAGGCCGCCCCGCTAAGAGCGCGGCATTACGGCGCTCAAATTTTTAATGAATGTTTACAATAACGACGATAGAAATAACAAACTCGGCGGCGCGGTTCGCAGGAGAAGAGCAACACACGTGGCAAGAACGAAAACAACTCGACTGTTGATTTTTCCAGCACAAATATCGGAGCCAAACACGGTGCTGCGCGCCGCCGCTGTCCGAGCGACGCGGAGAGGAGGAAAGAGGTGCTTTCAAGACGATATCCGACTCGCGTTTCCGACGGCCAGCCCGGCCAGCCGACGGCAAAAACTGCAGCGGACATCAGTGAATTCGCGTGAAGTGGGGCTATAAAACGGCCATTGGGGTCGGACGGGCCGTGGCGGCTAGTGGCGGCCGGGGCCGGCCGGGCTGGGCGCCCCACTCCACGACGCGGCGCCTAGCGCGCCTAGCGGGGCTCTCCGGGAGGGGCTTGGGGTTCTCTGTCTGGGAAGAGAAGAATAGAATCAAGAGACGCGTTCAAAAACGTTTTCAAAGAAAACAGGGCGGCGGGGCTTTGCCCAATTAATGTCGTCGATCTCTCGAACCGGCTCGTCTCGTCTTGGCCGGTCTTGGCTCACGCGGACGCGACGCGACGCGGCTGGATTCGCTGCAGTTCCCCGATTCCGTTTCCGTCCTTGCAACGCCCGAACGGCCTGAATGGCCCGAAGGGCGTTGACAAGCGGCGCACGGCCACGGCCTGGCCACGGCGGCGCGCGGCTGTCCGGGACAGACGGGGCGACGGCCCGGCCCGGCCAAGTGCCGGCAAGTTGAGGTAAGTCCCGGCGGACCGGCCGCGCCGGCCGCGCCGGCCGCGCCGGGTCGATGCTGTTAGCGGCGAGTTTGGGGATCGCCGACGGGGAGGGTCGCCCCTCGGAACAGACACGGCCGCCAGACGGATTCCGTTCCGCGGTTCCGCACCGCATCGCCGTGTCTCTCTCGCACCTGAGGGGGACGCCCGCCAGGGCGGGTGAGGAAGAGAGAGAGAGAGAACCGTGCTCCGAGTCGGCCTGCAGCAACAGGGATAAGAGCAACACGAGATGAGCAAGTTAGCGCTGCCCGGCGAGGCGGTGCGCGCGGTGCGCGGTGCTGCACGGGGCAGGTCGAGCGGGTCGAGCCGCCGAGTGCGTAGCGAAGCAGTGGCCGTGGCCGCCGAGCCATCCCCGCGGCCTTGGCCGCAGACCCTGTTTCTGTTGGCGCGGCCTGGCCTGGCCTGGCCTGGCCTGGCCTGGGCTGGGGGAGTTCGCACTCCGCACTTCGCAGGGCGCGCGGCTCGGGGCGTCCGTTCAAACTGGCGGCCGACTGCTTCGCCCTGTGGCAATGCAGCGCGGTCCATCGGTCCAGTTGGGAGACTGTGCGAGAAGAATTTGAGGCCCGGTCTCCGCCTGCCTCAGCCTCCAGCAAGGAAGCGGCTGTCCGTCCCGACCCGTAATTGGCAGGGACGGACGAGCAGGGCGGGCAGGCCGAGCAGGGCGGCGAGCCCACGCCACGGTGAGCAAAACGGGCCACTCGCGGGGCCGGGGAAGAGGGAAAAGCAACCGGGCAGGCGAAAGAAGGAGCGGCAGAAAAAGGAGTGAGCATCCCCCCTCCCCAAAAGGCCCGCAGGGGTCAGGGACTTGACGGCCACGCGGGCACAGGTGCCGCAGAAGAATTTCCCTAGGCACAGCGGGCAGGGCGGTGTGGTGGCGGGGAGGGCGTGGGGCCGAAAAAGGGAGGGGGGGGGGCGGCAAGGACCAAGGGCCCCCCTTGAATGGTACGGTCACTCTCCCTGAGCCTCCCACCCCCCATTGTGGCTCCCCGTCCCTGAAGGGGCAGCCCCCCTCGGGGTCCCTCGGCCCGCGCAGGGCGTCGTTCTAATATCCACATGACTTCGCACAACTCGGGCCGCGACGGGGGCGGGGGCGGGGGCGGCGTCGGAGGGGGAGGGAGCCGCACGGGGGACGGGTCGCCGACGACGGAGGGCGGAAGCCGGGGCTCCGGAGTTGTGCGCGCGCCGACAGCATTACGACTTGGTGGTCACTTGGGCAAAACGCCTCTAAATCTGATAGGGGGCGTCGCTCCACAACCTGGCGTGCCCCGGCGAGCCCTGGCATCGCCTGGCATGGGTCGGGACGTGACCACCACACTGGCAGCGTCGGAGTCGCGCCGGAGCCAATGCCAACCGCCGAGAGGGAGCCAGCCGACTAGACTGTCAAGTGGTCATCAGCCCCCCGACAGAGCGGGGCGCGGGGCCCGAGCACGGCCTCTCTCTCTCTGTCCACGTGGCGCTCGCACCCTCCGCCGTGGAGGGCTGTTCCACTGCACGGCCTAGGCCCGCCTAGACGGGCCGACCCGGATTCACATGAATAAATTATTTTCGGATTTCTCGCCGTCCAGCCGGGCGGCCGAATATGCATGCGCCAGCTGTGTGTGTGTGTGTGTGTGTGTGTGTGTGTGTGTGTTATTGCCACTGTGTGCGCACGAACCAGCCGCCAGCCGGTGTGGAGATGATGGCCATTGTCAAAAGCAGAGAAGGGAATTCCCCCGGGAAATGGCCGCGGCCGCAGTCACAAACACTGAGCAGCGCCACCGCGCCAGCAGCCAGCGAGCCATGGGGTGGGCCATGGGGCGGGCCGCGGGGCAGGCCGTGGGGCAGGCCCGAGGCAGCCAACTGACAGCCGAATTCCGGCGAGAGGCGAAATAATACTGTAGCGATCGCCAAGGCCAGTGCACAGCCGCCGCCGTGGACGCGAACCCGAACCAGAATCAGTATTCCGGTCGCCGCGGCCCTGGCTCCCTGGTTGGCCTGGTTGGCCGGGCACTTTCCGCGCTGTGCGCTTTGCGCCGCGTGGCGGCCACTGGGCCACTGGGCCGGCGTCGTTTTCGTCGCTCTGTCTCTCTCGCACGCATACGGGACGCCCCACGAGTGCGAGAGAGACGGAGCGACGAGAACGACTTTCGGAATCGGTCTGCAGGCGGGCTTGTCGCGCTCGCCTCATGGGGCGTTCCGCGTTCCGCGTTCCGTGGGCGTTGGGCGTGCGAGAGGGACGGCGCGACGAGGCACGCCACTGGTGGCGCGCGACAGCGGCGGAGACGGAGGGCCGCCGCCCCGCCCTCCTGCTTGGTGGCTGCTTGCTGGGGTTGCTGGCTCGGTTACCACCACGCTACTTACCCCGGTCCTCCTCGTCCACGGGCGCCACTTCGCAGAACGGCCCCGAGTAGTTGTCCACACAGTCGCACCGGATGGACTCGGCGCCGAGGCTCCTGCGGACAGGCAGACAGACATGTAGGCGGGCGGGCGGACGGCCACGGTCAAGGGGTGCTGGACTCGCTGGACTCCGCTGGACTCACTTGCAAGTGCCGCCGTTCCTGCAGATGCCCGGCTCGTCCCTGCACTTGGGGCCCAGCCCGCAGTCGGGGCCGTCGTGGCCCTCGGGGCAGGCGCAGTAAAACCTCCTGCGCGACAAAGACAGCGTCAGCAAGGACAACGACCAAACAGATTCACAGGGACGGGGCGCCGCGCAGCGCACTCACGTGAAGTTGGCGTCGGCCAGACAGTCCCCGACGAACGAGCACTGCATGGGGTTGCAGCAGGTCGGCGACGAGGGCGACGACGTCGACGACGGCGAGCAGGGCGGCGTCTCGTCGCCCTCGCGCACCTCGTACGTCACGTTGAAGCCGAACGCGTCCTGCAGGTGGCTCAGCACGCGCAGGTGGTTGCCCTCCAGGCGGTCCAGGGACAGGTCCACCACCAGGTAGGGGTACTTGGAGCTCAGCCAGTGCGTCGTCGTCACGTTGCTGGGCGCCACCGAGTGCACCTGCAATCACGAGGAGAGGGTGCACTGGTGAAACCAAGGCGTGCCACGACGCTTCAACCAGGGCGTCAGCGCCAGTACGCTGGAAAAGGGCGTAACGCCACACCACACGACAGAAGCTACAAAAGCGAATCGCGAACCGAAAGCAGGGAGCAGGGTCGCGCGTTAGCGATAGCCTTGCCCGCACCACGGGCAGCAACACGAGGACGTCTTTCGCAGTGCACCTGCGATGCGCCAGCCTGGCGCACTGTCGCACCCTGCCCAGCCTCCAGCGGGGAGGCGCCCCCGGGGGCACCCCGCGCCGTCGGCATGCCGACTCCAAATCCCCGCCCGCCAACAACACGGCGTGCGCGGCGTGGCGTGGCGCGGCGTGACGCGGCGCGGCGTGGCGCCGGGGCTTAGGGGCAATCCATCTTCGCGGCCATCGCCGCAATGCAGCCCGCCAGCCCCGCAGACAGCCAGGTGACCCCCGTCTCGCACCTGACACGCTGTGACGCGTCACTGGCACGGCACGGTACGCCACGGCACGGCACGGCACCTCACGCCGCAGTGACGCAAAGGCTTTGCAGTGTGCGCGCCACGCAGTTTGCTGCAGTAACGCCACACGTTTTCCAGACGTCCCCGACAAACACAAATTTCTCAGCGAAAGCTCTCGCTGAATGCAAACGGCTCGCTTGGCCGGCGGGGCGCGCGGCGCGCGATACCATTAATTAATTTTTAAAAGCGCTCACGCCATTCATCACGAGTTCCTGCGCCAGTGGCGACCGCTGCGACCGTCGTGACGTGTCGCTGGCGGCGCGTGCTGCTGGCGTCCGACGCGTCCGACAACAAGACCCTCCCCTTCGCGCCCCGAGGCCCCGTGGCCGCGCAGCCCAAGGCGCAGCCCGCCCGTCGCCGCCGCGTCTATTTCCGACGTTTACGAGACGGCCGGGACGGGACGCCGACGGGACGCCGACGGGACGCCGGGACTTGCGGCAGGAAGGGCCGAGCCGAGGCCAATTCCCTCCGTCCGTCCGTCCGGCCGGCCGCCCCGCGGGAGGAGCAGGCGGGGGGAGGGGGAAGGTCAAGTGACACCACATCCCCCGAAATTCCGGAAACCCGTCTCCCTTCCCGCCTTGATGAGCCCATAACACCCCGCCCGCCCCGTCCCGTCCCGCCGCGCGGCCGCGCCCGCCACCGAATCCATCGTTAACATTAGACGCGACATAAAAAGCTGAGAGGGCGAAACTTTGTCGTCTGCTGCGCAGTGGGGAACGGCAAAAAAATCCGAGGCGGCAGCAAAAAGCGGTAGTAGCAGCAGCAGGGCACGCCGCGCCGCGCGCCCCGCCGGACAAAGAACGCTGACCAACCGAGCAGAGCGTCGCGCCGGGCCGCGGCCGCGACAGCGCGCCGCCGGCTGCACTTTTGGCCGGGTCGCTTAGCATGGCGGCGGGGCGGGGCGTTCTTTGCGCCCCAACTATGGAGTGCCCGGGCCGGGCGGTCACACTGACCAACGACAAGCGCGCGCATTTTAAAAGACCGCCTTTGACACACGTGGAAAAGGTATAAGCCTTTCATGGAGATAGATATTTTGTTAGAGGCAAATCCCCTTTTCCCATGGGCTGGGCTTTTAGGCAGTGTATGAAAGTCTGCCTGACTGCAACTCACCTTGGTCTCCCCCATGCGCGTGCGGCCATACAGCGCGTAGGCGTAGAAGTTGAGGCCGTTGAGCACGTAGACCTGCGTGAGGTACACGACGACGACGGGCTTGACGTAGGCGGAGGCGTCGATGACCCAGCGGCAGTGCAGCGGCACGGGGAAGGGTCCGGGGAAGTTGGGCGAGTGGATGACGCCCTTCGGCGCCGTCAGGTTGCCGCCGCAGAACTCCAGGAAGCCGTCGGAGGGGTCGTCCTGGGGCTCGGCCTGCGCCGCCACGGACAGGCTGGCGGCCAGCAGCGCCGACACCAGCACCGGCACCAGCACCGGCCGGGCCGACGGCCGCGCCGCGGGCCGCGCCTGGCGCCGAGGCTCCCGGTGGGCCGCACCGTGGGCCGTCTGCAACAACAAGGACCTCGTTACGGTGGTGCAGCCGCCTCATGCCCAAGAATAGTTCTCTGTCTCTGTCGCACACGTGAGGCGTTCCGCACGGGTGCGAGAGAGACAGAGCGACGGAACGGTCCTTCGCAATCAGGCGGCATTGAGTATGGAGCCGCAGGCAGTGGCCGCCGATTGGCTAGCCTTAATTAGTCCTACCGCACGGCGGCACGGCGTGTGTGGCACACTGTGGGGCACACTTGTGTGGCACACTGTGCAGCCAGGGCCGCGGGGCTGGTGGCCCGGCGCAGTGAATACAGTGCAAATCATCACGGATCAGAGTCACAGGCACTGGACCGCACTCCAAACGGGCAGGCTGCGGGCTGCGCCGCTGCGGTGTCGGTGGGCCGAGGTGGGCGGCATGTGAGGCCAGGCCTCTACAGACGGACCGAAAGCTCGAGAGGCCCGTGCCAACGCGTGCCACAGCCACTGCTCCCAAAACTAGCTGCGGTCAAAGCCTTCCCGAGGCGGGGCGTGAAAGAGCAGGGTCTTAAGAATACTAGAGCGTTGAGGGAAGACATTGACCGCAGCTACATTGGACGCAAAGACCACCCGAAGTCAGCAAAAACGGCTACTTTCGGAGATTCAATCACTTTTTGATCATATTTGAGACGCTACTGCTCCCAAACTACCTGCGGTCAAAGCCTTCCCGAGGCGGGGTATGAAAGAGCAGGGTCTTAAGAATACTGGAGCGTTGAGGGAAGACATTGACCGCAGCTACATTGGACGCAAAGACCACCCGAAGTCAGCAAAAACGGCTACTTTCGGAGATTCAATCACTTTTTGATCATATTTGTGACGCTACTGCTCCCAAACTACCTGCGGTCAAAGCCTTCCCGAGGCGGGGTATGAAAGAGTAAGGTCTTAAGAATACTAGGTCGTTGAGGGAGGCCTTTGACCGCAGCTAAATCGGACGCAGTGGCCGCCCAAAATCAGCAACGTTTGATTTTGGACATTTTGACAGCTTTTCGAGGCCGGCGCTCAAATAATGTTCCCCCTAATCAGTTAGTTACCGCTAGCCCGCGGCCTACAAATCCGCAATTTGCCGCCATTTCCATCGTGGGTATCACCGGCTGCGAGCAGCACGCTGATTCCGGCCAGCGCTTTCGTCGCTCTGTCTCTCTCGCACACCAAGGGCGTGCCGAGCGGGTGCGAAAGAGACAGAGAGGCGAGTCATCCCGCTCGTAAATCAAAGTCAGTCGGCGGAGATGAGCTAGGCGCCGCCGGCCGAGGGCAGGCCGAGGGCCCCCCGAAGGGCGTCCCGAACCGGGCCGAAGGGCCGAGGTGCCCCGAGCGCTGAAAAATGCTAATGCAAGGTGTGGCTGCGAAAGGAAGCGACTGGAGTGGCGGGAAAATTGCTTGTCTGCCAGCAGACGTCTGCGGGGAAGCCGGGGCGGCCAGCCAGGGGTGGCAGACAGCCTCATTCGCGGCCACAGTGTGGCGGAAACGTAATCAGGGTGTCCGTCGCGAAGCCCGTTTCAATCCGCTTTGTTTCGCCGCGCGTCTCGGAAGGCTCGCAGATTTGGGAGCGCGTTTTGTTTACGAAAAGGACCAAGCAGCCCAAACACTGACGTCAGAGGAAGCTGTTGGGACCGCCCATACGCTTGGGGAGTGAGCAAAGAGAGAGAGAGTTTGGAGGCAGCAGCCGCCCAAAGATCCAGTCACGAACAGTCCAAAAGAGGAAATATTGCAGTCACTGCAAGCCACTTGAGAAATCATTGGCCGGCGGCAGTACAGCTTTCAATGGAGCTACTGCCCCTCAGCCTTCCTAACCTTTCCGGGACTCGCACCAACTAGAGGCTGGAAAGCTCCGCTTGCAATAACCCAGCCCGACAAAGAAGGCGCCGAGCCGCCATTGTGTTTCGGCGGCGACGGCGCGGCTTTCAATTCACGGCAAGCCGCGTCGAAGGCGGCAGGCGGGCCGTCGAACCAAATCAGATCAAACCGAACCAACAGGGCGACCCGCAAATCGGTTGCTGAGGGCACTCACCCACCCTCAGCCCTCCCCGAGCCTCCGCCACGCCGCCCTGCCGCCCTTCGGGTCCTTGGACTCCGGCCCTCGCCTCGGGGCCCTGGGGCCGCCTTGGGCCGCCTTGGGCCGCCTTGGGCCCCGGGCTGAAAGACAGCAGCATCGCCCCCGGGGCCCGGGGCATCGCCGGCAACGCGCAGGTGGGGCGGGGGACCCTGTGCGGGGGCCCGAGGGTCAGGGGACCAAGTCACTGGATGCCGCCCGCGCCGCCACTACCCCGTAATAGCGTCACCCCACTCACCGCGGCGTGGCGTGGCGCGGCGGGGCGGGGCGTGGCGGTGCAGCTGAGTTCCATTGCCTGCAAATGGTATGGCTAGCGCGCGGCGGCGATGCGTTCCGCAAACGGTTTGGCCGGCCCGGAGACCCACACTCCGTTTTGCTCATTTGAGCCCCAGTTCGGGACGCGTTGGGGCTGCCGGGGGTCAGCGCGGCGCTGATGGCTCGCGATGGCGGCGCCAGGAGTCCTGTTTAGCTAGCACGCCGCCGTCCTCGGCGCTGTCTCTCTCGCACTCACGGGGCGCCCCGTAGGGGGGCGAGAGAGACTCTACGCGGCGCGTCGGCCGTGTCCATCGACTCTCGGTGGACTCAGCGCTCTCCAACGCGCTGCTCCCCAATTTCGGGCGGAGCGAGGCGAGCGAGGCGAGTGAGTGATAAGAGGGGCTCGCTGTCGAGAAGAGACCCATCAATGGCAACCCCGACCGGAGAAAAGGGTGGGGGGCAAAGTAATGGCAGACCGAGCAGAGCTAATAACAAACCCCCAGCCATCTGCAGCAGTCGTGGCCCCGGCCCCGGCCACTGCCCCGCCCCGCCCCGCCGTCCACGTTAACGACAAATAAATAGTGCAGGACTCAGTCCCAGCTGGGCGGGGCAGCGCGGCGCGCCGGGCTGTGTCCTCCCACACCACCACGCCGCCCTGCGCCACGGCGGCCACGGCGTGCTGCAGGGCCACCAGCCCTTCGTCGCCCTGTGTCTCTCGCACCGCTGCGGGACCCACCGCGAGCGCGAGAGAGACAGGGCGCCGAAAGCGCCGCCGGGAGTTGACCCGAAGCGGTCGTCCCGCGGGGACGATGTCTGCCTGGAAGCCTATCCACCAATTACCAGTGTAGGCCCCCCGAGCCTGCCGTTGTCTTTGTTTTGCCCGGCCAGGGACCGCCGCCTCGCCGCCGAGCCCCACTAGGCAGCGCGGTCGAAGGTCGAAGCGAGGCGCCTCAAAACTGTTACACACTTCGTCACTGCAGTCGCCCAGGCAGGCATACGGCAGGGTAGTCCTGCCGCAGCGCTTCGCAGGGCTTCGCAGGGCGGGGCGAGGCTGCAGGGCCTTTGGTCTCTGCTTTGGCCAGCCGCAGCCTGGAGACCGCAATTGGCAGAAAGTTCCCTCGCTCTCCGCCGGGGCGGGGGGCGCTCTGGGGCCTTATCTGATTGTGGTGACACACAGACACACAGAGAGAAGGACGACTACACCCAGTCGGGCCTGCTGCTGCGCGCGTCTAGTGGCGGCAACTCCAGGAGAAGGGCAAGCGGCAAGGCCAGCAAGCTGCCAGAAGGACTCGTCGGCCGGGGCCGCCGGGGCGGAGTTCGCACCGCACGATTGCCAGCAGGAAAACACGCAGGGGGCTGTGACAACTAGCAGTGCAGGGGCGAAGAAACGCTCGCCGCCCCGCCCAGGCCGCCAGCCACACGGGGTTGGGCCTGCTAATGAAGCTGGTGCCTCCAGGGAAGTCACAAGGGAAGTCCCCGGGGACCTGGGGGACGGCAGTGGCCCGGCCAGTGGCCCGGCCGGCTACTTTTCCTTATTAAAAGCAGCGACAGCGTGAAGCCTCGTTATGATGGCGAACACGGCGGGGCGCCCGCAACAACAGCGCGCCGAAAGGCAAAAGGAAGAGGTATCGCTGCATTCATTGCGTTCCGGATCGAACGCCAAATCCCGTTTTCCAGTGGCGGAGCGCGGAGAAAGGGACGCCCGGAGCTCGTTTGAGCCAACATGATCCCGAGTGATGGATCGGACCGGAGCACAGCTAGGCAGAGCTGCAGAGCTGCAGAGCTAGGCACGGCGGCCCAAAGTGTTAGTGGCTTCGCTCGCAATGAACCGCGAGGACATTTAACGGGCCGGTTCGTTCGGGTACACGCAGTGCCATTCAGGGGGTAACGAATGAATACCCATTGCAATTCAATTTCCTCTGGAAAAAAAGAAGAGTTGTGAGTGAACTCTGCAATACATTTTGTTCAGATTTCTCTGTGCTATTTGGTGTTCCAAGTGAATGATGCCGTTGAATGCCATCCACCCAAAGTGAGCCCCACCCTCAGCCCCGACACTGGCAGCGTGTGCACTGAAATGAGGCGAGGCTCGGGGCCTCCTTGTCTTCGCTCGGATGACACGACTCGCGCCGCGGCAGTGGAGCGAGCGACCAATTAAACTTCGACAGATTCGCGGGCGCTGCCGCGACTGCGGGGAATGGGCGCGAGTCCCCCACGTGCCGCAGCCATCGCCTTTTGAACCAACAAGGGAAGATCATGAAGCGCGGGTTGCATGCGAATGGCAATCGCAATCACACGAATGAAGAACACTGTCGCGGACGACAGCGCCAGCAGCAGCGGTCCGGATAAGAAGTCTGGGCCAGAAAGTCGGCCAGTGGGACTCCCACATGATTCACTCGGCCACCGACTGCAGGCCGACTCACCCCGTCCCTCTCGCACCCCTTACGCCACACGAGTGCGAGAGAGACAGAGCGCCGCTGTTCGGAATCAAGGCTGCCGCACACCCCAAAACTCGGTGTCCACCACGTCAAAGCGCCCCGCTGTTCCATTATTTATCCGGGCCTCCTCGACGGCCGCGTCCAAGGGACGTCCAAGGGACCCAAGGGACCCGAGGGACGTCCCAGCGAAGTCCGAGGGATGTTGCCGAGCCGCGAGGGCGCAAAAACACACGCACTTACTCTGGCACGAGATTCGCAGCGCGCCACCAAGTCAGTCGAAAA